CCTGGTTCATAGGTCGACACTCAACCACTGAGCCATGCCAGCCCAGCAAAGCTTTAGACACTATACTCTCCACGGAGGGACCCAATTTCCGGTAAACACCCCTGAATCACCTCATTCCATTTTTAATTCTTTGAATAGAATGTATAAATTTCTAGTTCTGTTGTCATTGTTTAATTCTCACTCCCACTCCTGCTTAGAGTATACATCTAAGAGCAGAGACCTGTGACTCACTTCACTGCTGCATGACAGCACCTAGAACAGTGTCTGCCATGGGGTAGGCACCCAATCAAGGTTTGTTCATTCTTACCCAAGGATAGTTTTCCATTGATTTTCAGAGACAGTGGAAGGGAGGGGGAGAAACACAGAGAGAGAAGCATCAATTGTGAGAGAGACCCATCAATTGGTTGCCTCCCGCACGTACCCTGACCAGGGCCGGGGATAGAGCCTACAACTGAGGTTCGTGCCCTTGACCAGAATTGAACCCAGTACCCTTCAGTCCCCAGGCTGATGCTCTATCCACATAGCCAAATCGGCTAGGGCCCACTAAACGTTTGTTGAATAAATGAAAACAGCTGACAAGGCCCTAATTTCTGCCTTCTTGTTACTCCCAGGCCGAGGGAGAGACAGACGTGTCTGCAAAATTAAGGAAGAACCTGGGAAGCACCGTAACCGAATTTGGAAGATGCCCAGGGAGTCAGGAGGCCTCACACGTTAGCTGTTCCTGCTGTGGGTGTGGCAGAGAGAAGAAGGGCATGGAGAGAGCATGGGGAGAGGATCAAACCTCAGAAGCGAGTAGAGTTTGTGTGGAGAATGAAGTCAGCCCGTGTATCTCACCGCGAAGAAGCACGTCTGCCCGACCTGGAGCCTCTCCTGGGGGCCCCCACACATTCCGGACTGGCCATTCTCGGGGCCTTTGTACATCTTTATAATCTTTTATTTACATCTCAGGGTCCCCCATGGGCTATGTGATCTTTGTTACAAGAGACCAAGATGACCTGATGGTGAACTCTTTTCAGGCAGGGACTCTGGCTTACTTATCTTTGTCTTCTCATAGATTAGCACAGTGCTGATCATGGGTGACCCTCAGCATATCATGTATAATCTATATATATAAAAAGAGGTAATATGCAAATTAGGCCAGGACGCCATAACAGTCATGACCAGCTCAGGAGGAGGGGCCTGGATTGGGAAGAGAACAACAGACAGAGCGGCCCGCACCCAGCCCCAGAGCTGAAGAGAACAACATGCAGGGGGGCTGGCCCCAAGCCCCAGCCCCACAGCCGCAGCGCTGGGCTGCTGGGGCCGGAGTGGAGACACAAATCAGCAGGGAGGCTGGGCTCGATTCTGATCAAGGGCATGTACCTAGGTTGCAGGCTCCTCCCTGGCCAGGGCCCAGGTCAGGGCTCATGCAGGAGGCAACCAATTGAAGTGTGCCTCTCACATTGATGTTTCTCTCTGTCTTTCCCTCTCTCTTCCACGCTCTCTATAAAAATCAATGGGAAAATATCCTCATGTGAGGACAAAAAAAAAAAAAAAAGAGAAATGTCATATCCTATGAAAGAGACATCTTGAAAATGCCTAAAGAAAGTTGTCATTTTTTCATGGTGAAGGCACTGGAGTCCATGTTGATGAAAACACATTGGCAGCTGCAGCAGCTGGCAGTGGCAGCAGCAGTGGGGTGATGGGGGTGGCACCTTCCCTGATCAGCCCGTTTGCCTCCTGCAGAGGGAGGCCAGACTGCGGCTTAGGTCCATGGGGAGCGGGCCTAAGCCATCAGAAGGACATCCCCTGAGGGCTCCCGGACTGTGAGAGGGGGCAGGCTGGGCTGAGGGAGCTCCCCTCCCACCAGTGCATGAATTTCGTGCACCAGGCCTCTAGTACATGTATAATGAATCAATGAATTAATGAGTGAATGACATGGCTTAATAGCAGTTTATTTAGAAACAGTTTTGACTTTAAGTTAGGATAAGTAGCAAAAATAGTGAATGTGGTCTTAGGTAGCAATAGTAAACGTATGGTGACTGGGTGTGAATATCTAGAATCTTGGAATTACAGTGGGGCCTTGACTTACGAGTGTCCCGACTAACGAGTTTTTCGAGATACGAGCCGTCTCTCGGCCGATTTTTTGCTTTGAGTTGCGAGCTAAAATTCGGGTTACGAGCCAGCTTCAGATACCCCCCTGGTAGTTGGCGCAGCGAACGTCACAGTGAATGCCACAACATCAGCCCAGCATCACGTGTCTCACTCGTTCAGTTGATTTGACATATGAGTAATTTGAGTTACGAGCTCCGTCATGGAATGAATTAAACCCGTAAGTCAAGGCCCCACTGTATAGAGATGGAAGTGATAAGAGAACTGAGACCTGAGATGTGGAATGACTTGCTCATGGTTCCATAGCAAAGCTGTGGTCCAGTAGGACTTGAATGTAGAGATCATGGCTCTCAGTTAAATTGTTCTCTACAAGTTTTTTTGTTTTTGTTTTTTTAAATATTTTTATTGATATTTTACAGAGAGGAAGGGAGAGGGATAGAGAGTTAGAAACATCGATGAGAGAGAAACATCGACCAGCTGCCTCCTGCACACCTCCTACTGGGGATGTGCCTGCAACCAAGGTATATGCCCTTGACCGGTATCGAACCTGGGACCCTTGAGTCCGCAGGCCGACGCTCTATCCACCGAGCCAAACCGGTTTTGGCATGTTCTCTACAAGTTTGACTACATTCTATGCTGGTCAGACCACACCTGTGGTAATCTGTGCAATTCTGAACTCTGTACCTGAAGAAATAAGTTCACTGAGGAGAGTTTGTGCAAGGAAGGCTGATGCAGGTGCTAGAGGGGGTGTGGAAATCACACACATGAAGATCAGATGAGGACATTGAGGACGTTTCATCTGAAGAAGAAAATACTTGCAAATGG